GGTCTGCGATGATTCCTTCTGCCTGTTACATACTTTTTCACAAAAACATAATACCCTGGTTTCCCATTTTCAACGGGTTCAGGGTATAAAAATGTCTGTGTTCATTATATATATCTATACACAGTTCTCCAGATTCAAAACTGGTCAAATTAGGCTGAAAAAAACAAAATCAATTTTTGGATTATTCTTGATAAGAAAGTAATCAGATGAGTTATCGATGAAATATGATAACCTTGTACTGCGTTTGGTATGCAAGTGTATTTCAGCTCTATCACTCCTTCTGCCCGTTAAATACTTTTTCACAAACCCATTATATTTTCCCATACGTATGTCTATAAATGAAAGTGAACTCTCTACTGCACTATTCGGAACTCAAAAGCATCATAGTGCGTGTTTTTCATATGCGACCATATTTAATGTGTAAGCTTTTAAAGTGGCCAACGCAATTATCTCAAAATTATCGCAAAACTATTCGATGTTTGGGCAAAAAATATTCCGATATAAATATACTTTCGATATGTTGATATATTGATATATTTTCAACAACTATAGTTAATTCCATAATCAGGTTAGAAAGCTTTTTAATGCAATTTTACCACAAACAATACTTAATACAATATATAATAATTAAAATAATTTTTGAAAATTGACTTGTTGCAGCACGACGCGGATCGAGATGGCCTGATTGATATACGCGAGCTGAAGGGTCTCATTTCGTGTGGCCGTTGCCACGATATACCCCCACACATAACCGAGCAGATATTGCGCCGCAGTGATACGGACAACAATGGGCATCTGGACTTTGAGGAGTTCTACACCATGTCGCTGCACCACAAGTGGATGATACGTAATATGCTGACCAGGTATTGCCGGTATGTGGTGCCGCCGCCTCGTCCGCTGGAGGGCGATGAGCCAGATGGCGCGTACGAGAAGCAAATGTCCATCTGTCCGCCGCCACTGACCATGGTCATTTTCTCCATTATTGAGATCATCATGTTTCTGGTGGACGTCATTTACTTTCAGTAAGTTCATTGAGATCAATTGCTGTTCATTGTTTTGCTGATAATACTTTATGCCAACAGGGACGATCCCAATCACAACCAGCGCCTGGGCGAGAGCACCAATGGTCCAGCGGCGACGCTCTTTATTTACAATCCGTACAAGAGGTACGAATCGTGGCGCTTCCTCAGCTACATGTTCGTGCACGTGGGCATCATGCACCTGATGATGAACCTGATCATACAGATCTTTCTTGGCATCGCCCTGGAGCTGGTGCATCACTGGTGGCGAGTGGCGCTTGTCTACTTAGCCGGCGTCCTGGCCGGCTCCATGGGCACCTCACTGACCAGTCCCCGCATCTTTTTGGCAGGCGCCTCAGGCGGAGTCTATGCTCTGATCACTGCCCATATTGCCACGATCATTATGGTGAGTCCATAAATGTGCTGAAAACAAAACCCTTTTTAATACTGGTTTTCTATTTACAGAACTACTCGGAAATGGAGTATGCGATTGTCCAGCTTCTTGCATTCCTTGTGTTCTGCTTCACCGATCTGGGTACGTCAGTTTATCGGCATCAGACTGACCAGCATGACCAGATTGGATACATTGCACATTTGTCTGGAGCCGTAGCCGGCCTCCTCGTGGGCATCGGGGTGCTACGTAACCTGGAGGTGCGTCGCTGGGAGCGCTATCTATGGTGGATAGCTGTCATCATCTACTTTGCCCTCATGACCACCGGCATCATTGTGCACATCTTTGTGCCCGACTACTTTCCCAAAGCCGAATACAACTGAGATCTGGACCAATGACAAATTAGTTTTAAGCCGCACAGCCCTAGCCTTAGCCTTAACCTTAGTCTCAGGTTGTCCATGTATATGTCCAAAGTGCACTTGATTTTGATCTTGATCTAGGCCATCCCTTAGCTTGAGTACGTGTAGTTCGATAAGTTTCAATCACCATTCTCCTTGTATTACTAACATTTACTATCCCTCTATATTTGCCAGTACTTATCCAACCCATCGTATTTTCCCCCTAGCCTCATAATTCCATAACAAATCGTACACACGCTTAACTCGATTCAAGTACCGGCTTTGATATATACATATATATATTTAGATAGTTTTCTACACACTTATTAATTGATCTGATTAATAGTATAAGAGCATTGAGCGAAAGAATTATTAACCGAATCAAACTGCAAATCCAATTGTTTTGGACATAGAAAGCCACACCACACCCTAAACAAGTACCAAAATACAAGTCCTTGCCCCTATTGTAAATACAAATATTCGCTATATATATTCTGTGCGCCTAGAAACAAGAACAAAGTATTTAAAAACAAAGTTAATTGGAAGTCGCCTATCACCATTTGCTAGGATATTTTTGTACAAGCGCGATGTTTGAATAAAATGGAATATAATTTCTGTTCCATGTTAAATATATGTTTATAATTCCCTACATACTTATTTATTCTTATATCATTTATATTACTTGTGCCGACTATGCTGGCACAAAATACGCACAAAAGAAAAGATCAAGACAGTTTGCTTATTAACTAAAAATATAATCCTTCATCAAGTTGAAAAGAACAGTTGTGCGCTGAACCAGACGTTTATTATATATATATATACAGAAAAAATAAAAAGATCTAATTTTTATACACAAGCAAACTGATTTTTCATTTTCGATTTTGCTCTATGTACTTAACGTTTCCCTATGAAAACGATTCCATACTTCATATTACTTAAGTTATTATTAGTCTGAGTATTCCGCCACTAGGTATTGTCTAGCTTATGATGGTGAATAGTCTATCTTCTCTAATAGAACAACTGGGCGGCAGATACGTTACAAACGTGACGGCACTCACCCACATCCCATTACCACCCTGAAGACCACATGCTATATAGCATATATACAGAATACGTAGAAAGCAGATATTCATATGTAAGTATATAGAATATGTAGAAATTATATATACATGTGTATATATAAATGCTCCCACATATAAGATATGTGTATAAAAAGGAGGCGCTGGAAAAACGGTTAGTTATGCGATATTCCGGCGTCAGTCGGCAAAGCCGGGAGGAATTTAAGATTGGTTGTCTCGCTCTGTGAGACCTTGGCGACTGTCAGCCAGGCCTGCGGCATCATGTGGTGTAGAATGGACTCCAGACGATCGACCGGCAGGCAAGCTATTGGCTCGTCGGACTCGTTAAGTACATCGTTGTCCGGCACGCCAGGTATGGGCAGTACAACCGGAATGCAATCCTTCTCTTGATTTATAGCCAGAGCGCGAGTGACGCTCAATAGTTCGTATGTCAGACCCAAGCGAAACACTTTGAGCTGTTCGCGGTTTTCGCTGATCGCCTGCATAATGTAATTCATCATGTAGGCCGCGTTATTGTGAAAGTTGGGCGACAGCAGCAGCTCCTGCACCGAGCTACAAGCGGCCAACTGACGGCTGAGCTCGGCATCCACGTTGACATTGATGAACTCCACACGCTTCACACTGCCGCCGGCGGCGATGCCCTTCATTATCTCATTAATGTTAAACGAGCGGTTGCTATGGTGATTCTCGAGGCGTAGATGGCGAAGACGGGTCAGACTCGGCAGCACTTGCCGGCCGAACAATGAAACTTTCATGCCACGACAGGAGCCCAGCACAAGTGTTTCGAGATTTTTCAATCCTTGCAGTTGTAACAATTTTAGCTGAGCCATATTGTTAATGCCGCGCAAACTAAGCTCCTGCAACTGGTCCAAACCTTGCAGCGGCTGCAGCGAAACAATGCCAGCCTTTGGCTCCAACATGCGAATACGCAGCACGCGCAATTCGACCATCATCTCTAAATTAATCAAACTGAGTACACGACTGGTGCATGTGGTGCGCAGCTCGTGCAGATGTGGTATACGCTTGATGACCGACTCAATAAACTCTGCCTCACTTGGATCAGTGCGGAGTACGCGCAGTGACTTCAGCACGCGCAAGTCTCCCTCCAAACGCACTTTGGGGCTGTCCATTTTAACCCCCATCATATCCAATTCGTAGGTGCGAAAGCGCGCCATATCACGCAAAAGGAACAGCCATTTGGCAATGCGAGAATCGCGAAGCCTTACCGTGCGCCACACGCTGCGATCGCGGGCAATCATAGCCCAGGTCTTGCACACCTGCGACATACGTACACGGTCCTAGGCAGAAATAAGAAACCAGCTAATTTACGCGAATGGAATGTACATTGTCAGTTGAAACTTACGGGCATATCCATAATCTTCATAACGGCACACATCACCTGGCAGTTCAGGTTGCCAATTGAAACGCACTCAACAAAGTTCTGACGCT